GACTCTGCTGTCTGCTGCCTTCTTACACTTCTCGGTCAAGGAAGCTGCCTTCTCTGCACACATGTCCAGTTAGTCATTCTGCTAACGGCACTTCTACCTTTGTTTGACCTGTTGATTCCACCTTCTGGGGACTAGCTGAGAACTGTCTAGGATGTTTTGTTGCACGTACAGGTTTCAGAAGCTGCAGCTATTCACTTGTTGACTGGAGGATTCTACCAGGCAGCTTTTCTTTTTCATGGAATGTTCTTTCATCCTGCTCATTTTCATTCTGTGTGCAGCACACTTTGTTCCCTATCTGTAATGAAAAGAAGATTGAGTTTGTGAATAGGGAAATTCTGTTTAAAATACTCTAGTTGTTTTAGCTTGCAGCTTCTCAGAAGTCTCTTGAATAGTGTGTTATTAGTGGCTCTGCTAATTTCTCCTTGCCTTGCAGCTACCCCTACACCACTGCTTTGTATGAAGGAACTCACTCTGCAAAAGCAGAGTGAATTCTTCTGTGATGGATTTCAGCTTGGCTGCTATCTCCCTGGGTAAAACTGTGAGAATTGCTTGCATGCTGTTGTTGAGAAAAGTGTGCTGTGAGAGACCCGTAAGCAACTGATAATCATGATTATGCAAAACTGCAGTCTGTGCTTCTTCCCGAGAGTTTCTGAACAGTCATTTTATCAGATACATGACTGGTGCACTGCGAAATATCCATTGTAAAATTTATCCATCACCTCTTGTCTGCAGACATACAGTGAAATCTTTTCGAAGAACTCTTTTGCCAGACAACCTTGTGTTAAGAAGCTGACCTGAAATACCCTTTGTATTTGTAGTCCAGTCTTCATTGTCCTTTTCGGGAAAGCTGCTTCTGCTGACCCACTGATCTGTGTAGGTCCTTCAAAGGGTTCTTTGACCCAGACTGTCTGAAGAGTTTCATACCTTTTTAAATTTTTAATTCTGACTTCTCTGGGTTCTGCTTAGCCAGTTCATTTTGATGTTTGAATCTCCTCCTCTGTAGGCTCATGTGGTGTCTGTTCCATGGTGCTGCAGTGCAAGAACAGTCCTTAAGCTCTATTTCTTTCACTGTGTATTTGCTGTGCCTTGAATATTGATTGGAATAGGGAACATGATTTTCAGTCATGAGTGAGTGCTTGTTTATGGAAGAAGTTTGGGGCAGAAACAGTCTAACGTATCATGGTGAATTACTTTCTGACTTTTTATATAGCTGAAAGCTTTTTTTGAGATATGAAGGTAGTGTAATACAAGTTGGTTGGTTACCGGTTTCAGTGGTAAGGATACCAAGGGAACTGCAGGTAGAGTGCGTTGCCTCTATCAGCTGTGGGCCAACCTCTGCAGTACCTTTTTGATGAAACAGGAGACTTTATTTATATTTATATGGCACCTAGGGATGTGGTTTAGTGGTGAACTTGGCAGTGTTAGGTTTATGGTTGGACTCAATGATCTTCAGGGTCTTTTCCAACCTAAATGATTCTGTGATTTCTGCAGAGTTTCCTGTAGTATCTATGTTCTTGTTTCAACGTGCACTTCCTCTCCCTGAAGGATGCATGCCCTTTGCAAGTGGGGGAAGACAAGGTGGAGATTTGTAAAGGCTTCTACCTCTAGTAATCTGGGTATCTTTGTTTTGGCATATAAAGTACCGTATTTCGTTGTACTCTTCAGTGGCAACTTGCAATGTAAGGTGCAGTACAAAGAAAAGACTGTGACTGTACTGCAAGAGGCTGAAGGAAGAAGCAGTAATTAGATGCTAATTACTCAAGAGTATATTAGTTAAAAGAGTTACAGATTCAGTTCTTAATACTCAAGGAAGTAATCTTTGAGCCTTGCCTCTTCACTGTGTATTTGCTGTGCCTTGAACACTGAATGGATTTAGGTGATTTCTAGTCGTGAGTTGGTTCACTAGTGGGAGAAGTAACGTTCAGTTATTGCAAGCCAGTCTGATTATTGAAGATGATGTGTTCTTATGCCATATGACTAAGATTTCTCAGGCTTTCACGTTTAGGCTGTCATAGGCTTTAGTTGCTGAATGGAGATCAGTGAGTGGAAACCATTTGGGAACTGCCTGTATCTTTGTAGACACAAGGGATGGAAACCTGTCTATGCTGCAGATCTAAGGGTGTTGTGCAAATTGGGTGCTTTGGGGCCCGGTAGTACAGAGCTGTGCTACTGCTTGTATACTAGCAATTGCCCTAGTGTACTTAAAGATTTGGTTGATAAGTTATCCCTGTTTTGAGCTGTTGCTGCAAAAGACATTTGAAAGTTGATTGATTGATTGATTTTTCGTGTATAATTCAGGAAAAGGAAGTGAAGAAGAGTGATTCATAGTTTTATTAGGTTCATCTATATCTTTGCGAGACAGAAGGATCGTGTAAGCTCCGAATTTTTATGGCTGATGCTACAGAGTACATTGGTTCAGTAGGCTTTCTTGGTTCTACCTTGTCTCTTTATTACACTGTACTTGGATGATAGAGAAAGTTGGGGGTTTAGGATCAGGAGGGACTCTTCTGAGTCGCGGTGTGGCATGTTTGGCAGACTCCTTGTCCTCAGAAATACCAGGTATTGGGCATTGAGTTGTGAACAGGCTGAGGATAACTGGTATACGTAGGCTTGCTATGGATACTAAGCCAATAATAAGTGCTGTACAGGGGGCTGCAGCCTTCTAAATCTATCTGGGTTCAAAGCATTCCTGTCTTTATGCAGATTCCTAAGTGCTTTGCTCTGCTCATGCAATGAGACAAGGTGCTATTCTGGTCCTGGGTTTGTTAGGTTTTATTGCCTGAATTCCTAGTTTCCTTTGGACAAAAGAAAACCAGCCGCTTCAGGATGAGTGTAGGAGTAGAGTCCAATTTACTGATTGTAGTGGGTATGAAAATAGCACCAGCAGCTGTGTATACATTTAGGGTTAGAGGCCTCTTAAGAACACATTTACTGCAAGTTAACATGTCTGTCTTAGAAACATACACTTTACTCTTTGCTGTCTTGGAGTGAGAGAAGAGGACACTGATAATCAAAATTTGTGAAGAAAGGGGAGCATGTTAACTCATGTTCATGGGATTCAGAGACAGCGTTTCCATAGGACAGCATACGCTCAGTGCTTTCAGTTTGTGAATTAGCCTAGCTCTGTGGGCTCCGCACTAATTTAATTGAGCTCTCATATGAGCGGTCTTCCTTTGTGTGACCTCACCTTGGTAAATCTGGAGTTTTTTACCTGATGCACTTTCTCTGAAGAACAAGCTTTCCTGTTTGTTGTCAAGAGGAGAGTGGAAAAAGTTTTGTCCAGAGCGAATCTTGGAGCAGGAAGTGGTTTGGTTGTCTTTCTTCCAGGATTAGGAAGTAAAATATCAGGTGTTGATTGCGTAACTGCTTGACTTTAACTTGCAATTCTGTATGACAGGAATCTTATAAATGCTTTTCTATGCCTCCAAGACCTGCTCAAAGTGATCAGTGCACCAAGTCTGTGGCTTTTCTGAGGCCAGCTCTTTCTTGATATGTTAGTCTGAGCTAATGCTGTGCTGCTTATCTGAAAGGTTGGAAACATTATTTTAAGAAACTGGCAAAGCGGATCCTAACTTGACTATCACTTTTCCACATGAGATATGTTTAGTCTTACAGTCATTTTATGGGTTTGAAGAAAACATAAGCTGCTCTTGGGATTGATGCTAAAAAGGAGAGAGAAGGCCAGAAGGAGTGCTGACTGTAACCATTTCTGTGAGTTGGGGTAAGCTGCACATTTTCAGAGTATCACAACCAGATACTTTCCAAGGGGTGAGATGGTAGTGGACAGTGTCTGGCTGTCATAGGAGTGGAGGAGGATGGTGTTCCTGTGCACATGCAATGCCAATCTCCCTTTTGGGTTGGCTGAAGCCCCAAATAGCTTTGGAGTTCGGGCTTCCTGGATTCCTGCGGGAGTTACAAAGACCATACGCATGCTGACAATAGAGCAAATTGAGCAAGGCAGCTTCAGAAGGGCTTCTTGTGGTAAACAGTGCTTGTTTTCATAGGGGAATGGCTGATTTCTCTCTCCAGCACGTGCCTTCATTGTAAAGCAAGTATCTGATCTGGTAGAGACGAGAGCAAGGCTAGCTGCAATGATAACACTGAGCATTTCCAGGAGATGCTATGAAAGGAGCACTAAACTTGCACCCCTTATCCTCAATTCCAGCAGGCAGTGATATATCGCTGTGAATATCTCGGAAGGCTGAATGAGGAGATCATAGCATTCTGTTTTCCTATGTGAGGAAGCTGCCTCAACTGGAGTGAGAAGATAGTCACAGGGGGCTGATTAACGGGTTTGTGTGTGTACAAATGCAGAGAAACATTAGCGCACCTGAGTTTTCATATCTCTCCATGCAGTGATACCAGCTGCTGTGAGGAAAGGAAGAGGCATATGAGCTTCATTATTTGAGATCGTCGGTGGTCAACATCTGATGCAGACCAGGCATACACACCTTTTGTAGTAGACTCGGCTAATTTCATAGAAGTTCCCACTTTCAGGACAGTCACATAGTCCAGTTTCCTGGGCCAGATATCTCTGCAGCTGCTTGGTCTTTGCTGATCTGTGGAAAGTTCTTTCCCCTCGC